CACCCAGCCAGCTGGAACCCCCCCCCCAGTCCTTTCTCCCCACTCACCGGCCACGCCGGGATCAGTCTTTACTTCATGTCCCCCTGTGGCTTTGTGCGCAAAAGGAAACATTTCCATTTTGCTGGAACCACCCCAGGCCTCTCCCTAGCAGGGCTAGGCAGGCAGAAGGGTCCGCAGACCCCTCGCTCCTTCCTGTGCCAATCACCCGGGGAGCCTCCCCTTTGCCACGCTCCTGGTGACCGGCCATGCCCAAGGAAGGCCTGAGAGCTCAGGGGCAGTCTTGAGGTCTCCCCTTCCTTGCTGGGATGTGGCTCAGGGCCCTTTGCTAGTTGGGCTTTTTCACTAGCTCCTGCCCCCTCCAGCTGGACGCCAGCGGTGTGAGCTTCCTCCCGCAGTGCCAGCTATGGCAATGGCAGTCCCTTGTCATGGCGTAAGAGGGAAGGGCCTCTCATGGATCGGTAACTGGCTGAAAGGCAGGAGACAAAGGGCAGGAAGAAATGGTCAGTTTTCAGCATGGAGAGAGGTAACTAGTGGGGTCCCCCCAGGGTCAGTCCTGGGACCCGTCCTATTCAACCTGTTTATAAATGATCTAGAGAAAGGGGTGAACAGTGAGGTGGCAAAATGTGCAGATGCAACTAAACTGCCGGCCCCACGCCCACCACGGCACAGCTGGCCCCACGCCTCACAGCAGCCGCCACAGCCCAGCCAGCAGTTGCACCCCGGGGGAGCGGTCCCCTGCCTCCCCTAACCTCTCTGGCAGGCCCCTCTGACCGGTACCTCCGGGACACCAGGCTCCTCTCTGGACCTGAGAGCACAGCGAACGGAGGGAGGAGGCTACCTCCCCATCACATCTGGTGCTCATTCATGGCAGCAGGCAGCTCACCGGCACAGCTGGAGCACCGCCAGGGTGTCCGGGTTCTCCTTACACATCTGGAGCTCATGGGTGTTTCCTCTTGCACCCTAAACGCATCTGTTCCATATCTGGGGGCAGGGAAACTCTTCTCCACGCACAGTCCATTGCAGACCCGCCGCCGATGGGCAGGCACCTGGCTTATCTGCCACGTGACAGCAGCTTCGGCCACCTTGGAGGCAATGGGCTCGGAACCCAGCTGTCGTGTGGGCGGAAGGGACAGCTCATGCTGCAGGTGGCACATGGCAGGCTGCCGCTGGGCAAGCTGGCTGGCGTTTGAAGCCCCTCTCCTCCGCATTCCTCCCCGCCCCTGCCTCTTGGCGAACCGGAGCGCCTGGGTTGCAAGCGCCAAGCGGCCGAGAGCTCACTTCCTGCCCGGCTGGCTGGGCCGCAGAGCCATCTGGCCGCTCGGGATGCAAAAGGGCACATCCTGGCCGGGACTTGGGCCTGATGACTGCCAAGAACCCGGGGGTGAGGCCAGAGATCGGGTCCTCGGCTGCTCATTCCAAGGGGTCCAGGAAGCTAGAGTGGTGCGGTCTCCAGGTAGGGAGCTGCTCCATTTGCTTCTCCGCTGGCAGCCCCCTACCTTCAGCCACCAGGAGGCAGAGGCCGGGAGGGGGGCACATTGATAGAGAAGCAGGACTCGCCCCATCCCTTGTGGCCAGGGCTCCAGGCGCACGGATGGCGCAGGGCCTGCAGAACCGGCTGGGTGCGCACAGGGCACAACTGAGTGACCCTGGCACCCACATGCAGCTCTAAGAGGGCACTGGCCTCGCTCCCAGGCGGGAGCACCCCGGGCGCCAAAGCGGCTGCCGGAGCCTGGTGACGGTGGGAGGAGGAAAGGCAGCGATTTCCCCTAGCAGGTGTCGCAAGAGGGACGACTCTTCCATGCATTGGTTCCAAGTACACCCGCTGTGTTCCCCTGCCTGCCTGCCTGTCCCTCTCGGGGGGATGTGACACAGCGAGGACTGGCTGGGAAATCCCCCCTTTCCAAGACAGGCAGGTCGGGCTGCCGGAGCCTGGTGACGGTGGGAGGAGGAAAGGCAGCGATTTCCCCTAGCAGGTGTCGCAAGAGGGACGACTCTTCCATGCATTGGTTCCAAGTACACCCGCTGTGTTCCCCTGCCTGCCTGCCTGTCCCTCTCGGGGGGATGTGACACAGCGAGGACTGGCTGGGAAATCCCCCCTTTCCAAGACAGGCAGGTCGGCAGCAGCAGAAGCCCCCCCCCCATCCCGGGGGAGTCCTCTGCTCCCCAGGGCCGGGCCTTGGATGCGTCCTGCCGCCGCCTCTCCTCCAAGAACGAGCAGGACTCTGCGGGCTGCTGGCCGGGGGCACCCCCATCCCTGGCCGGTGGGCCAGAGTTCTTTCCTTCTGGTTAAGCAGCTTGGAGACTGCAGCAGCACCCACCTTCTGCCAGGTGCCTTCCCAGCCCGGCTGCAGACAGCCCCGCCCCTCGCTGGCACTGGGAACAGCGGGCAGGACCTCCCTCGCGCCTTTGCTGGGGTTTAATCCCTCCTGCGGGCCCTGGGAATCAGCGCTCGGCAGAGCAATGCCGGGGCAAGCAGGGAGCCCCCTCCCTCTTCCGGGGCACAGATTCACCAGCTCAGCCAGTCACCCCGCTAG